ACACCCTGTGCTGCTGTCTCACTCCAGACTGATCGACACACTGCGCCACTGTCTCACTCTAGACCGTCTGACACACTGCAACGTTGTCTCACTCTAGACCCATCGACACCCTGTGCCAATGTCTCACTCCAGACTGATCAACACCCTGTGCTGCTGTCTCACTCCAGACTGATCAACACCCTGTGTTGCTGTCTCACTCTGGACTGTCTGACACCCTGTGCTGCTGTCTCACTCCAGACTGATCGACACCCTGTGCTGCTGTGTCTCACCCTGGACTGTCTGACACCCTGCGCCACTGTCTCACTCGACTGTCTGACACTACTGTTTGACTCTCTGCGCTTGTTAGAATTTCAGAATTGTCGTGTGATCTCATTTTCCTTCCTGCTGAGCTCTAAGTATCTTCGTTGATCTGTGTATTTTCATTTCTAGGGCTGGAAGAAAGTTTTTGTCTAAAGGCTTCTGCAGATTTGGCCAGAGCCGTGTGGATTTTGCTGCCTTTCTTCCTGAGCTCTGGCCATTGTCATGGCCATGACCGCAGTACCTCCAGGCCTCCGGGCTCTGAAGCAGGAGGCGTCCAGACTGAGGGAGAGTTGCTCCAATGTCAAATGTTTCCCTCTCTGTCCCCCCCCCCCCAGGAGACGACTGCTCCCTCTCCAGCGCTGACCTGCCCAGCTACATCAAGGACAACTTCGAGTCGGAGGCGGTGACAGCTCAGAACTGGCAGCTGATCCAGGGTGGGGGCACTGGCAGTGGCTGTGGCCAGCTGGCACCCCATGCCCATGGAAACTCTCTCTACTTCAATGGCTGCAAGATGAGGCAGGCAGTCACCAAAATCCTGGACCTCACCAGAGCCAGGTAGACTGGGCCCTGGGCATTAGGCACCCTCTCTGTATCTTCCTCTCTTTTTTTCTCTTTGCTTTTTCAGTGTAAGGAGTATTATATTCGGACATTTTAACCTCTTTCAATCTCTCTCTGTGCAGTAAAATCATGTTCGTGCTGCAGATCGGCAGCGTGTCCCAGACAGAGAGCTGCAACACCGCCCTGACACAGCCCAACACTGTGGATCGTGCCGTACTGCTGCAGTACAGCATCAACAGTGGCATCACCTGGCATGTCATCGCCCAGCACCAGCCCAAGGACTTCATCCAGGCTCAGAGAGTCTCCTACAACATCCCGCTGTGAGTCTGCACTGCAACACACTGGAATACTGCATTGACATAGTGTACTGACACACACACTGTAACACTGC